CTACTGCTCAAAGGCTAGCACTATATCCATCCATGCTCTTTGTGTGTGTCTGTGTTTGTGTGGTGTAAATGGGATTATCATGATAAGACAGGTAGAGAGATTTGCATCCATGGTTCTAGGTCATGTGATAATTGCTTAAAACAAAGAAAGTATTCATCCTGATGAACACATATTTCTTATGTTTGATATGTTCCTGTAGAAGGACCAAGTTGGAGTAACCTTTATTTACTTTATTTTTACTGAAAGAAGCAAAAATTTTGAATTCCAGCTTCTGTGTCATGTACTTTATAAATGTTACCTCATTTAATACTCACAAATTTCTATGAAATGAGTAACTCTGAAGCCCATGCTAAGAATATTACTCAAGGTAACACATATAGGAAATCATAGAGTCATGCTTTAAGCCCAAGCAAATCTGATTTTAAATCTATGTTTGGTCACTGTTTACACTAGTTTTATTAATGAAATACTCAAGTACTCAAGTCAAAGTGTTTTATAATCCTTATTTGCATTGAGTATAAAACTTCTACATATATCTCTTATCTTGAATTATTCTTATTTATCAGAGAAATTATTTTGATTTAATAACAAAATAGCTCTCCTTTTTTTTTCTGTCTATAGACGTGATTCGTACATTGAAAAGAAGTGAAAATCACCCACAAAAAAATTCTATAATTTTATAGGATATCATCTAATCTTATGTTTTTAATGCCTATTGTAATTAAGTATTTCTTCCTCTTAACAGCTTTTGACATTTTGTACCTTAAATCTTAAAGGTTTCTTGATAAGCTGGTGCTTATTTGAAAATGTTTTATTCTGGATAGATGTTGGGAATCTCCCTTTTCTTTGCAAGTGTTCATATGTGTGTCTTTTACTCTAGCGCTTGTGAAATAAGAGATGTCTGGTCTGTTGTTCAGCCCCATGTAGATCTAGGTGAGCTCATTGGGTCATCGGAGACAGAGGAGCCAGTGGTGGCCATGACTGATGTGGGTCCTACTCCAGAGGAGGTTCAAGTACCTTTGGCCATGTGGGAGGCTGGCATTCAGCACATAGAGCTGGAGAAAGGGAGCAGAGGCCTTGGTTTTAGCATTTTAGATTATCAGGTAAATGTATTCTACCATTAACAAGTTTTAAAAAACAATGCTATGTACTGAAAGCATATTGTTGATAGCAGAGAAGAAGAAAATAGTCATCAAAGACATTTTCTTGTTTGTAGTGAGTCTTTCAAAATAATAATTAATATGACTCATTGATTATCATAAGGGTTTCTTTTAATGTCAAATTTATTCAGCTATTTTATAATTCAGCTCTTAGGAATTTGAGGAACATGTAGAACACATTTTAGAAATATTATTGAGAGCTGGGCACAGTGGCACACATCTGTAATCCCAGTATTCAGCAAGGCTCTAAGCAACTTATCAAGACCCTGTCTCTAAATAAAAGTATAAAATAGGCTGGAGATGGGGCTCCGGGGTTAAGCACCCTGGGTTCAATGCCTGATACCAAAAAAAAAAAAAAAAAAAAAAATCATAGAGACATAGTATTTTGTTTTAAAATATTTTTTAGTTGTAGAGGGACACAATGCCTTTATTTTATTCATTTATTTTTCTGGGGTGCCTGGTAAGCACTCTACCACTCAGCTACAACCCCAGCCCAGTGTTTTATTTTAATAATTTGAGGAATCTATTATTGTTATTTCCATGGTCTTGATGGCTCATAATTTAATGGTCAGTCATTAAGTATTAGATATTTCTTTGCTGCAAATGATAAATGTATAATTGGATATATTATGAATTCTGATATTCCAATCATTTTACTATATTTATGAATATGTTTAAATTGGTCAAGTGCAGCCTGCCTTGTGCTCTATGCTGCATAAATGAGGAAATTGCTAAAGCCTGTCTGACAGAGCGCAGCTGTTGCTCCTTATTAACACTGAACAGAAAGCTGTCTCAGATGACTAGGGAGATGTGTTCATAGGGCCTGATTCTGGAGCCTTGTTCTAATGTGGAGGTTGCTGTGTAAATGAAAACACTGCATTGTCAAATGCTTCTTTCTGTATGTTTTCATTTCAAAGGGACAGGTCAAACATTCAGACATTTCCATCCAGTGACATATTATTTAACAAATGCTGTTGTTAATAATGAATATACATGACATCTAGCCTCCAATGGTAGTTATAAAATTTGACAACTTAATCTAAAATTAAAATTATAATTTTAAAGTTATCTGTACAATTGAAGAGGTGTTTTTGGGAACACTAGCAAATGAGAATGCTTTTGTTTTAGATGAACTCTTTATGGATTCGCTAAAATGAAACAGAGATAACCTTTGCTCAGATAATTCATCAGAAATTCTTTTTGTATGAATTTTAAAAATACACTTGAAACAATAACCCATCCATTGATAATCAGAGGGACAACCTATAAAAATTTTCTTCATTCTAAAAATGGACTGAGTTCTCTTTACTTTCCTATTCTGTCAGGATCCAGTTGATCCAGCAAGCACTGTGATTGTAATTCGTTCCTTAGTCCCTGGTGGCATTGCTGAAAAGGATGGACGACTTCTTCCTGGAGATCGCCTCATGTTTGTCAATGACATTAACTTGGAAAACAGCAGTCTTGAAGAAGCTGTGGAAGCACTGAAGGGGGCACCCTCAGGAACTGTCAGAATAGGAGTGACCAAGCCTTTACCTGTAAGAATTTGGATTCTATTGATTTATTTTTATATGTACAAGAAAAGTGGCTCACAGGTTTTCTTTTAGCCTTGGGTGTTCTCATGACTGAATCATCACTTTTGGTACTTTTCAGCAATATGGTCTTTGGCTCCATGAACATAAAAATTTAATTTGAGTTATATTTTTCAGAAAATAAGGAAAGAAAAGAGCCAGGATATTTAGAAATATGTTTATAACATTACTTTGTGATTATCTTTTGATGTTTTTTATTATTAGCTATTAAGGTCATGATGAAGCAGAATCATATATTTCAAAGAAATATGGATTCAAATATTAAAATAACAATGTAGCGGGGGTACTAAAAATCAATAGCATTTGGGCTGGGGATGTGGCTCAAGTGGTAGTGCGCTCGCCTGGCGTGCGCAGAGCACTGGGTTCGATCCTCAGCACCACATAAAAATAAAAAATAAAGATGTTGTGTCCACTGAAAACTAAAAAATAAATAAATAAATAAATAAATATTAAAAGAATTCTCTCTCACTCTCTCTCTTTAAAAAAAAGTTAAAAGCATTAACAACTAATAGTAGAACCTTTAATCATAGGGGAGTAAAGTAGGATCTCTGATAGAGTGGCTTAAGTTTCTTAATTATGTTGACTTCAACACTATTTGTTGTATAATTTGTTCATAATTTATTGAACAATACAAAATGAGTTCATCAGTTTGTGGCTCTTTCTTCTGGGAGGGAATAGTTCCCATATTCTATACTGCAATATTGAAAAAACAATTTATGTTGTATAAAGCAGCATGTTTTATTAGGTGTAGTAATTGTAACATGGCATTTACCATTGTACTGCAATTAAATATTAAGAGACATGATCATTATTTGTGAGGTTTTTCCATGGTATAAATATAGTTTTAAATGAAAGGAAGTGCAACATATATATGCATGAATATCAATAAAGATTTGTTTGATTTTTGTGAGAGAATTTGTTCAAATAATAAGCTTTGTTAGTATTTTTAAGTGTTAATTAGAATTATTCTATGTTCCAGTTTTACTCCACAAGGAATTTTGGTAATCTATGAAATGCATTTATGAAAAAATAATAGAAAACAGGGAGGGAGAAAAGAATGAAGACTGGTAATCCAACCTAAAAATCAAATCAGGATTATAGAAATAATGGGAAAAGATCTGTACTAAAGGGAATGTAAAAATGAAAAGGCACGTCATGAGGCTCTATATATTTATCGAAGGTGGACCATAAATTGGCTCTGGTCTTTCTGTTTTACAAAGAGAAATAGTGAACACGACTTAATACATGTTTTTTTTTTTTTTTTTTTTTCCCTTAAAAGAAACTGTACCAGTTATTTAGAAGCAGAGTCTTCTGTTTCTAGCTAGCTCTAAAGTAAATTTCTTTCAATACAATATTTGATATTTTGGTGTCAACATGCACTGTAACATATGAATATCTGTTTCCCAAAGTGAGTCTTAGTAAATATTAAATTCATGTTTTGGTAAAGAGGAAAAAAAGGAAGTTTTTCCCTGTAATACTTTTGCATGTGTTGCTGACACAGAGTTATGTAGACAAGGCCTTATCTAAATATTTTGGCCCATTTTTCAGAAATTGTTATAAAATTTTTAGGTTTTTCAGTCTGTGTGATCAAGTTAGAAGGTAATAGAGCTCAAGACTGCAATTTAAGCAGACTGCACTTGAAGAGTTTTGCTTTATTTTGTCTTAAAAGCTATGCTAAATTAAAAGGCTTCACTGTAGGATTCAGCCACCTTCCCTGTCAAGTAAATTACATTCCTTAAATTAATATTCTAAGAGGATATGACAGAAGTTGATCCCTCTTTTTATTGTTGTATTATTCTTATCCAATCTTTTTAAAAGTCTTAATAGCTAAAGTTTGCTTTTCAGTATTTGGCCATAATAGTAGGCAGATAAGAATTACTAGAGGACTATTATAATGTAAAAATTATTGA